ATTCCGTTCACCGGGGTACACTTTGCGGCGTATGAGGCTGCCAAGAAGATCTTGTCCGAGTTGTATCCGGATCAGGCTGGGGACGATCACTTGTTGACGCATGTTGCCGCCGGTGGCACCGCCGGAGCGCTGGCGAGTGGGATCACTACTCCGTTTGATGTTGTCAAGACGAGGCTCCAGTGCCAGGTATGTGTCTCTTTTGTCTCTGAGAAGCGAGTGTTTCATCAAGCTTTCCGTTGTTTCAGTTCCACTCTTCTTAGATGGGAGTTGAAAGTTTTGCTTTCACAGAGTTGTATTTTTTGTTTAGAGTTTATAGTGTTGGTTCTTGTGGTCTGGTTTAGCGTTTCTTTCTTGAGTTCTAGGATGCTTGTGCATGTAGATGAGTGTTCGTTTCGTATGCTAGTTTAGTTGCGATGGCTCTAAATTCTGGATGTGGCTGTTCTCAGGGTGTTTGCGGTGCAACCAAGTACTCAACCAGCTCCGTCACACAAGTGGTGAAGGAGATTGTTCGCCGTGAGGGCTCGGCGGCCCTGTTCAAGGGGTTAAAGCCTAGAGTTTTGTTTCACACTCCTGCGGCAGCCATCAGCTGGTCCACTTACGAAGCCGGTAAGAGCTTCCTGCAAAGTTGGAACGCGAGTCATGGCTCGGATTGATGCCTCCCAGAGCATCACGAGATTCTTTGTATTGGCTCTTCGAAAATTTTGACACTGGAAATTTTACAGTTGTTTCTCGCACTTGGGAAGCAAATTATGAAAGACTCTACTGTTTGAAGTTGCAATACTTTGCCTACATTGTTCTTGCTTTATACTTTGAATCAAAAAAGCTTTAAAATTTTAAAGATGCGTGGCGTATAAACGTAGCGTTCTGTTTTCTTTTCTTTTCCTCGTTTCTTCATTTCTGGTATTCCAAGTGGGTGTAGCAAGCTAGAAATTCTGGTAAATCAAATTCCCCTTCGTTTTTTCTTTCCAGTGCCAACAACGCGCTCACAGACAAACTCCGATGAGCGAGCGTGTAAGAAAAATTTGTATATGATTCTTTGATCTAAGGTGAGAAGAAACATCGTCTAGAATGCTGGCCTTTTGCTCCTTGGCCTTGGCACCTTGTCTTTGGTCCAGGTAAGCTTGCATGGCTTACAGTGGTACCTCGGCTGCCCAGGCTTGTAATTGTTGAAATCGTAGAACCTCGTGCACCACATGCGCCCACACCACGGGCAGTCGATTTGCTCGGGCAGCGTAGCCCTCACCTTCGCTAGCAGAGCTCGCAGCTCGGGCGTCACCTTTGCGGACGCGTTCTTCCTCGTCTTGGCCTCACCACCACAGCTTTTCAAAGCCTTTGGCCGCTTGGGCTCACTCGGAGTCTTGGGCCTCTTGGGCTCGCTCGAAATATTTGGCCGCTTGGGCTCGCTCGGAGTCTTGGGCCTCTTGGGCTCGCTCGAAGTCTTGGGCCTCTTGGGCTCGCTCGAACTCTTTCTCTTGGGCTTGTTCGGAGTCGCTGGCCTCTCGGGCTCGCTCGAAATCTTGGGCTTGTTCGCGGGCTCTTTGGGCTTGACTCTCGCCATCACCGGCTCTCCACACCAGTCGTCCATGGCGCAGAAGCTTTTGAGAGCTTCCGGGTCCCAAGGAGGGCAAGCCAAGCCTCCCTCGTACTCCCATCCGTCGCCTTGGACCTCGTCTTCCAGATCATCGAGCATGGGGATCTCTGCGTCCTGTGCCTTCCTCTTCATGATGCAATAAACCCTAGTGTACACATTCTGGGTCCACACATTTATACTTATTTTCATAAAGGTGCCTTTTTAATTAGTTTAATTAAAATTAAAAGGATGAATTGTAATATTAATTATAATTATGCTAACTTTAAACTTTAGTTGGAATGATGTTGTGAAATGGGAATCCACATTGTGCAAATACTTGTGCAAATAAATTTATTTACTTAAATTTTATTTGATATAGTGCATTAATTAGTGTTTCCTCTTGTCTATCTAATTTCATAAATTTAATTTTGCTATATTTATTTATATTTTATTTGCACACGTTAAATTAATATGAAAGTTGTGAGGCTTTTGATTGTTATTATAGCAAAATTTAATAACCAAAAGAGTTGTATTAAGAATAACTCTTCATCCTGACATTTATACTGTGAGTGATGCTTTATATATTATAGAGATTAAAAGGGCAATTGCAAAAACAATTTAATTTCTAAATACATGAACATGATATCTTTAGAATAATCTATATAATTTTTAATTTAAATAATTAAAATTTATAATTTTTAGTTAATTTCTGAAGTTTTCATTTAATTTTGAAATAAAATTAATTCATTTTTTCTTTAAAGTTCAAAACTACACCTCTCATTTACTTTGGTTGGTATATAAAGGGTAAATTAGATGCTTCTCTTGAATATCTGCCAAATAAATGTCCATTTCGGCAAATAATATATTAGTAATAAATTACATATCATAACAATATAAAATAATAACAATAACTTTGGGGAGATCTTCTAATGATATAAATCTTAAACATTAAATTTTAACTTCATTGTATTTTTCAATATATTTTTGTATTTTTTCCAAATGATAATTTTACTCAAACAAAATCTTCCAAAATAACATAAATATCATTAACTTGCAACCATCGCTGCGAGGAGCGCTGCTTCAATCTGGAGAGAAGCGACACCTTCAATGGCACGGCGCTTAAGTGCTGAGTCAAAAGACTAATCCTACTACTCCATACAATATTTGTGGAAGCCAAATGCAATGGCAGTAGAGACAAATCTCCCGCTGTCCATCAGCGGCGCCGCCTACGCTAGAGGAGAAAGATCCCCACGATGGCCTGGGATTTCGGCAATACATGCTGGCGGGATCCATCGCCGGCGTGGTAGAGCACATGGCAATGTTCCCGGTCGACACTGTCAAGACGGGCGTCCAGATGCTATCGGTTCCTTCGTCCTGCCCGTGCGGCTCCCCAGTTCCATCGCTCACCAAGGCAGTGGTGGAAGGTCTGGCGGGGTTCTACCGAGGATTGGGAGCCATGGTTCTCGGCGCTGGGCCGTCCCACGCGGTCTACTTTGGATGCTACGAGTTCTTCAAGGAGAAGTTTGGAGGCAACCGCGATGGCCACCAGCCTCTAGTCCATATGGCGTCCGGGGCTTGCGCCACCGTCGCTAGCGACACGGTGCTCACGCCCATGGACGTGGTGAAGCAGCGGTTGCAGCTAAGCCGGAGTCCATACCAGGGGGTGGCGGACTGCGTTGCGAGGATTTACAGGAGCGAGGGGCTTGCGGGGTTCTACGCCTCGTACAGGACCACGGTTTTGATGAACATTCCGTTCACCGGGGTACACTTTGCGGCGTATGAGGCTGCCAAGAAGATCTTGTCCGAGTTGTATCCGGATCAGGCTGGGGACGATCACTTGTTGACGCATGTTGCCGCCGGTGGCACCGCCGGAGCGCTGGCGAGTGGGATCACTACTCCGTTTGATGTTGTCAAGACGAGGCTCCAGTGCCAGGTATGTGTCTCTTTTGTCTCTGAGAAGCGAGTGTTTCATCAAGCTTTCCGTTGTTTCAGTTCCACTCTTCTTAGATGGGAGTTGAAAGTTTTGCTTTCACAGAGTTGTATTTTTTGTTTAGAGTTTATAGTGTTGGTTCTTGTGGTCTGGTTTAGCGTTTCTTTCTTGAGTTCTAGGATGCTTGTGCATGTAGATGAGTGTTCGTTTCGTATGCTAGTTTAGTTGCGATGGCTCTAAATTCTGGATGTGGCTGTTCTCAGGGTGTTTGCGGTGCAACCAAGTACTCAACCAGCTCCGTCACACAAGTGGTGAAGGAGATTGTTCGCCGTGAGGGCTCGGCGGCCCTGTTCAAGGGGTTAAC